TTTTCTATGAAAAAGCATTTTTCGTCTCAATGAATATTATACAAATCGATGGCCCAGACATCACTCTTTCGAATGGTGAAAATTGCAACTCTGTATCTCATTTCTATTAAAAGTTATTCGAAAAAAATGACAAACTGCCTTTTATTTTGAAATGCGCAATAGTTGAAGAATAGACCGTCGTTTTGACTAATAGTTCATACCAAGAGAAAGTTTTTTCTAGGTAAAATAAAACGTTATTAATACACTGGCTAATTACAACTACCTACATCAGATAAAAGAAAAAGAAAAATGTTAAGAAATGCATTCACTATCAACATAATAGATTCAATGCGGAAATAATAAGAATCTGTTGGATATTAATTAAAGATAAGAATGAATATTCACTACAACATGAAAGTGCAATAAATCATACAAACAACGTAATAACAATATTTGTGTTAATCCTTTAGGATAAAACATTATTTTATTCATAATAAATTAAATAATATATGAAAATAAACATGCTTAAATATTATCATATTTAAGAATAGAAAATTAATTTTCTTTCAAACTAACAATTACAAATATGAATGTTATAAATCAATTTTAGTTACTAACATAATAGTTTACTAATCAAAGATGAGAGTTCTGATATAAACAAGAATTAGTTGTCATAAAATATGAATCAATAGAAATTAGTAAAAAAATATTGAATGTATACTCAATTAACTAGGTCACACTAAAATTTATTTAGTACTATCAAAAATAAATTAAGAATTTGAAAGAACTAAGTGAATGTTATTTGATTAGGAAAAATACATTAACATCGTCTTTTTTTAAGAAAAATTTTATAATTCTAATATCCTGAAATAAAGATTATTTCCGGCAGATGTATTTACTTTATCTTAGTATTGAATGTCTAATTGCATTCATCATATATCAACACACTCTTTACATTTATGTTCATTCAAAAGGAAAAAAAAATATGGTGAAATGCATACATAGTTTCTTACAAATCCTTGATTATTATTCTATCCTCAACTTAGAAACAAATCATAATACAGTCAGTCAGATTCATTATGAACAGAAGAATCTAAATCTTCTTATATTAAGAGTGCATTTTATAAAAATAGAATATATATATATATACGTTATTATACCATATGCGTTTATTTATAATTTAACAATAGAATCTAATAAACATTTCTTTTGTTATGCTTTGAAATTTAATAAAAAAAAAATTTGTTCTATTGAATATATTTTTTATTAATTTAAAAAAGAATTTTATTACAATAAAAAAATCAAATTAGAAGAAAATAAAACAAAATTATATATCATATTGTGCATTAACTTTTTTCTTTTAATATATGATGACTGTTAAATGTTGAAGTATTGGTTTATTAGACAGAAATAAAAAACAAATATGATTTTATTGAATAGTTTTAAAGTGATAATTTCAATAATAACGATATTCAAGTATACGTTATTATTCAATAATTCATTTTGACCTTTAAAATTGACTGTAGGTAATAAACCTTTTGATACTATAGTCAATCATGTATGGCTAAAAAGGTTTTGAGGGCTTTTTCTAATTTGAAATATTCATGAGAGACAAAAAAACTATACTTATACTTTTTCATACTTCTCTAGTCCAATGGATTTATTCAGCTAGAAGGTCGAGAAATTGATGTTCCTCAAGAGATCAAGTTAACCTTCTTTAAATTAGATGTTCACTGTTATGAAATTTGAATCCTTCTACCGGAAGAAAAAAAATTTCGAGAAAACGTTGCTTCATACTTTGTTAAATCTCATTATACTTCTCCTATAATTATTTTCCTAATGATCTTATAGAAAATATTTCGCAAAAATTTAAATTTAATTTTGAAAACATTAGACAAGTTGCCAAGTTTAACATTATATGATAAAGAGTTTCTAATATTCTCAATTGTAAGAATTACTCTGGTAGAAGCTTTGATATTTTTTGTATGCAATAAAAAATATTATATATTAAGGTTATGATTATATGAAGAATAATACAACTTATTACAATTAATTCTATTTTGAAAGACGACAGGTGTTAATAAACAGAAGTGATAACTCGTTTTAGACATGTTTGACGCTTGTCTTATTTAATATTGCTGTGACATGTTTCTTATAATTGTCATGTTTGAATAGTACGCATAGTATAATTGATTTAATTAATTGTTCTCATTCCACTAAAGCACAATGACTAGTAGGTGAGATAGTCAAAAAAAGGGCGCTTCAAAGAATTACGAAGTTGACAAAAAAAAAAGATGTTGATATCAATATAGAAGAAAACAATAATGTTGAATAAGTTTTATTAAACACAAATATCGGGAACAGTACTTCTGGACTTATTGATTTGAGTGCTTGATAAATATTCAAGATGTTACTTTTCTGTGTATATCACCCACTTTCATCTATGTGAAACGTATAAATTTGAAAATATTTTTTTTCTATAGTGTTTTCTAGTAAACGTTCATGAACGGTGGTCTAATAATAAAAGTTTGTATTAAAAAAAAGTAATTTTATACTTTACATAGATTGCTTCAAAATCAATGAATTAAATTGTTTCATTTTTTCTTCATAATTATATATTGTGGTGATGGTTTCACATTCATCATCTAGAAAAAGCTCTATTGTTTCTTATTGTAACAAATGATACGTGTTTGTACCTAATAGAGAATCAGAAGAATATTAAGAACATTATTATCAGAGTCAAAATTCGAATTTATCTGGACGAGATTAGAATTAAACTGGAAGTAAATCGATCAAGTTGAGGACATTTAGAATGTGAACGATTGAAGATTTTTGATTTTACAAAATACCGTTTATATCAATTGATTTATACTATCTATTTCAAAATATAATGTCTTCCAGCATCGTTTTTGAATAACTCTTTTGATAGAAACAAGATAGAGAGCTACAGTTTTCACCATTGGAAAGAAGAGATGAAAACGCATTGAACTAAATATTATAGGATAACTTGACCTAAGTTTTTTCAAGAACTTGAGTCGATGCCTTGGAAAACCAGGATACCTCGATAGATGACTAAAATAAATTTTTAATCAGGAGTTATAGGGACTTTACTTGAAATTCTTAGCCAATTTTTCTATGAATTTCCGCGAAAGAAATCAATTTGCGTTTTTCTTATTTTATGAGAAACCAAGTTTCCGGCATTTTTTTTAGAAAACTGATATCAAGAAAGCTTTAGAGAAGATCTTAGAAAAATCTGTAATATACAATTCGATGCGTCTTCATCTTCTCTTTCCAATGGTGAAATCGCAGTTGTCTATCTTGTTTCTATCGAAAATTATTCAAAAAATACTCACCGACCTTCTTTTTTGAAATGGGCATTAATACTTATCATGAAGTGTAAAGTTTATTTATTGTTCAGTTTTTCTCTATACTATTCTCCTAAATTCATTCCTATATAACTTATACTAAAGCTCTTTGCTCATTTTTATTCTTAAGGTATGACATAAATGATGACCTATAATTGATTTATATTCAAATTATTAATTATCTTATGTTTCTTAATTGTACAAGATTTGTAAAAATCTAAATTTTTATTATTTTAGTTTTTTTTATTTAATAATAAATAAATTCGGTATAAGACGTATTTCGAAAGAAGAAAAATATTTCACATCAATCAGCATCGCCATCTGTTTTTCTTTTCTGCTAGCTCTCGGTTTCTATTTGTTCGGTCTATATATGACTCATATTAATCACGACCCGTGTCAATGTTGGTCAATCGAATACTATTATTCAAAAACAAATGGGTTGCTTTCCATCAGCAGAAGCTCTTGACTTTGATACAATACAACCACTTGTATTACGAACGACTGGTGGTGTAGCTACATACAGTGGTACTACCGAACGAGGTCGATGTCAAGTTCGTTTTATTTTCGTTCTCATTAACACTCTGTTGTTTTTGTTTACTACTCGTTTTTGTTATCTTTATAGACGTTAGGTAATGCAGAAATGGCATTGAGTGAAGATTGTTTTTATTCACAAGTATTGGGTGGTGGATGTTGTGGAGATCAAGGATTATTACGAATACCAATTTTATCAGTTAGAGATATACGACAACAAGCTTGTAAAAATTAATCTTTTTTAATCTGAATAATATTTGTTTAAATTTTTTTTTTATAGATTTCAATGGACGTTATCGTGCAGATCATCCTCATATGGTAATAACTTATGTTGTAACTGATACAAAAGGATCTCATGAATATCAAGCTGGTTGGCAAATGAATGAAGTTGCCTATAAACAATGGAAAACAGCTATCGAACAATTAAGAGATCGACATCCATCATCTGAACTGGCATAGTATTATGTTGAAGTACTTTCATTGCTTGATGTTGAACGTTTATATGATTTCAATTATGCAATCGATCTTATTTATATGGTTTCATTGAACTGTTGACAATGCATGACTACTATTAGGGATAGTCTTGTTTTTTTTTTTGTTCACCGCAATATAATCAATTTATAAAAAAGAAAAAGAAACAAAGAAATATTGATTTTTTTAAATTTTTATTGTTTAGAATTATGATATGAAAAAATTATATTCAGCAATTGACAATTATATAAAAAATTTTACAATAATGTAGTTTTGACTTTTTTTTCTATACTATTAAGCAGTTAGCTCAAATTTACATAAAGATTTCGATAGTCAACCAATTGTTTGATCTAATGTAGTCTATATTAAAGTTTCTAAAAAGTTGGACACGATAGTTTTGACGTTCTAGAAAATTCTGAAAAAACTGAGAAGACGCCAGATTTTCTACTACATGCCCTGAAAGAGTTCAAAATATAGCAAAAGCTAAAAAAAGAAATTTATCAAAAAAATGTCCTCTTGTGATACTCTTATCTTTTTAAAAGAAAACCGTAGATTACTCAGCGACCCCGCATTTTGTTTAGAATTTCGTGCTATTTAAGATGGTATTGTTAAAAAAAAGCTCCGATCAAGTCTTTTTTAAACATGAAAATTATCTTTAAAACCATTATCTGGATTTGAGCTAGTTGCTTAACATAATAGAAAAATATCAAGATGCTCTTAGACACTTTTCCTCCAATTTACTATAAATATCATCAGTAATATATTGTCGTGTGATATTTTAAATTTGTTAACTTATGCTGTTGATCTATATCTTTATGAATATTAACACAATATAGAAATACATCATATTGAAAAAATTATTATGAATTGTATTTATGATATCAAACATTTAGCTTATGAATGTAACATTTTTGTCAAGATAGATATGATAAGTGTAAGAATACACATTTCCAATACAATTCAAAGTTTAAAAATGAAAATATAAAATATTGATAGGTTTTAATTTTCTGTTTGATGATGTTCCATACTAGTTCAATAGTATTAAAACTAGGACTATAACTTGATCATTCACATACTTTAACATTATATTCTTAACTACTGAAGCATACAATGATTCACATATCAGTGTTATTCAAAAAAGGATTGAAACTATTCATATCTATCTTCATAGAATTGTTCCAACCATAAACTCTAGACTCTATGTCAAAAATACCATTCGCAATATTTTTTTTGAAGGCTGTTTGACCATAACAGAACAGAAAAAAACTATTAGATTATATTGATAAAAAAATATCCGATGAAAAAGACAAGTAATCATCCTTCTTGGACTCTTTTTGATTTCACTTCATTGATGAATTGTTTGATAAAGAGTTTTACAAGAAATCATTTGATAACAAAGCAAAGCTATCTTCTAAAGCACTCAGACATACTTAAGATCAAAAAATTAAGTATCATAAATCGATGATTAATAGATAAGTGAGTATAGTGGTATGTAAACTTTCTCATAACGAGACATCTCAAACTGATAACTATGTCAATCAACTATTCATCATACAGTCTATCTTTGATGAAAATTTCAACACAAACAATTGAAGTGTTGCTTAGTGTTGATATAAATTTTGTTCCGAATAAGCATTACAATCACTTGCTAATATCATCACCTTCACGTCGTGTTTTCTGAATATTTCAATAAAAAAAGAAAGTTCGATACGAAACTTCGAAACACATACTAGTCAACTCAATCGTTTCTAGTGATTCTAAATATTTTATTGGTTTTGACTCAAGTTGTACTTTTTTTGTGATTGAAATCTGTTAAATAAAAGTCTTTAATGCAAAAAGAAAAATCACATTAAATAAATTTCAATATTATATTTTTTTTTCTGAATCCTCACAATCAATCAAAAGCTCAAGTCGGTTTATCTTTTCTCGAAAACATAAAAAACCAGTTAGTAGAAGTGATTACGATGTTCGTTGGAAACAATATTTCTATCAGTACGAAGTAACAGTTGTCACCAAACATAGACTGTATGATGAATAGTTGATTGATGCAGTTATCGATTCGAGATATTCTACTATGGCAAACTTTGAATGTCTCACTTTCCTATTTCTGAATCATCGATTTATGAGGTTCAATATTTTAATCAAAATGAATCTACATGCTTGAAAGATAGTTTCATTTCGTTACCAAACAGTTCTTCGTAAAACTCTGCATTCAACAAATTATAAATGAAGGGAAATGAAAAAGGGTCTTATTTTTCTCTATCCTTTTTAAAGTACTTAGGTCATACCAAAAGTCTTTACAGAACTAAATCAATTTCTTATAGAATGCTTGAAAAGTGTGGGCTTGGCGTGTGAGCGTAACACATACTCACACTCAAGCGTATCTACGCCCACACCCACATTAAAGTCATTTTTGACTAATGTTATTGTTACATATCATAGTCATACAAGTCTAATGGAAATTTTATTATTATGATATTAGATGAATAATGATCAAATACTATAGAAATGTAAAGCTTTGCTTTTGCTATCAGTCTATATAAAAAGAAAAGTTTTTCAAGCATTCTACAAAGAATTGATTTAGCTCTGTAAAGACTTTTGGTATGACCTAAGTAAGTTTAATTGTTTATTCTATTCAATCAGAGTTAATTCATTCAATGGTATAGAAATCTGTAAAACTCAATCAGTAAAAAAACCGACAATAGAAGTATTGATTCTTATACACTTTCGATTTTGATTTTAATTCCAATTGTTTGAATTGAAACGAACACTGATCCCGATCAAACGCACTTATAGTCTCTTCTTTTCATATTTAATAATATTTATTTTCTGAGTATAACTAAAATAAAAACAATGATCGATTCAGCAATTTGTCTATAATACTATATCTTATTCTAAACATGATACTATGTGATCTAAAGAACATAATTCATGATAAATATTGTGACAGAAGAAGAATGACCTGACAGCGAATAGATGACCATTAATAAATAATAAACAAGTGTTAGATAGAAAAAAGAATGCCATTGGTCATTATGATATCAATATTTCTTCTTGATTATAAAGGGTGTGTAATAAGTTCTGATCCCCTTCATGTAATACTGTTGTCTTATATGTTTGTCCAGTGAAACAGACTCATATTTACAGCATATACACTAGACATGTAGAATTACTCTAGGCTAGAATTTGAGCTGTCTACCTTTTTAAAGTCATAGAGATCTAAGTAAGACAATATTCACTGGAAATTTTTGATTTGGTTTGAAAGATTTTTTAGCTGTTTTACTAAGAGTATTAAACAAAAAGTAGTTGCAGTCTAAACGAAATTTATAAATCGTAATTATCATATAATAACAAAAATGTGCATCAATGTTTATCTATCTGCTTTTCATGCTGATGTATCACTTGTTGCAATTGTCTGAGTAATTTTCAGTGTTTGTTCATATTTTGTTGCAGTAAACAATTTTCGTTCTTGTATTACTCAAATTTTTCGATAAAGATTCATTTCCAAAATTTCTCTCAATAGCACCATAAACTGTGTTGATTGGCTAAGTATCGACAAATTTCGCATGACCAATTTCATGCTCAATACGCTCATTAGATATAGAGTCAATAGTATTCCTTTTCGCTATTTGTTTAATGTCTGCTATTGCGGTCACGTTGAAAGATTGGTACCAAGTTAGCTTTATTTAATTCATCTAAAGCGTTTGTAGATTTCGTTGTTTCTGCACGTTACGAACAGCAGACAAAAATAAATCATGCATTTTTTCTCTACTGATAATTACATAGACAAAGATTAGAATGCGGAAGTGAGACATAGAAAAACAAAAGTTATTCGTTATAGGAGTTTGAACTGGTGACAAAAATTTTTAATACGTCTTGTTTAAAAAAAATAATTCAAAAAGTTCCTATGAATATGTTCTTACTTGGATCTCTATGACTATAAAGAGGTTGACAGCTCAAATTCTAGCCTAGATTAGATCTACATCTCTAGTGCTTATGCAGTAAATATAAGCCTGTTCCGCTAGAAAAACATATCAGAAAACAGTATTACATGAAGGGGATCAGAACATATTATACATCCTTTATATGGCACGAAACACATTTATGTGACTGTTAGACAACCTTCCTGCTTTAGCTGGAGAGTTATATAGAACATGTGTGTTACATTTCTGGAGACTTTATATTCTTATATCTAAAAGACGTGAGGAATTAGGGGAAGCAATTGCTTTTCCTTGTAGTGCTGGTGTGCTGCCCATAGTCAGGCTCGAAAGTCTATGCGTCAGTCACTAGCTCCTAGATATCGACCTCTTAGGTTGCTCAAGGCTCTCTTGCACAAAAATCTTTCTGTCTGTCTCTCTTTGCAACCAATCAGAATTCAGTATGATTTATCGTTGTCGTTTGTTTTGAACAAAGTGCATTTTCCTTGCAATCTCGTCGATAAAATCGATTTCCCAAGTGGCTTCCCACTAATTAAGTTTTTCTACATGTTCTCGAGCTCATCGGGAGCTTTCAATGTAAATATTAAGATTGAACTTTCCCGAACAACGCTGAGTACTTAGCCAGTTATCTATAATGGAAACTAAAACTTTTCTTTTTTTTCCAAACTAACAGGCCTGTGCCTATGTATATATGAATCATAAATTATATATAATGAAAACTTTGTCTTCTCCTTTTTTGTTCTGACTTACAGAAAAGTGTCTTACAGCTTTCTATTTATTCCCAATTTATGCTGTGCATCAAATGTTTCATTTATATTCGAACTTGAATCAGGCAGCTCCTGCATTTTGTCTGGTTTTCTGTTATCCCTCCTATTGCCAGACTATCTTTACGGATGCTCCCTTATGTACTAGACTTAAAAAAATAATTTAATACTTGTGCGTTGTTGTTTATAAATTTATTTAATGCTTTGACATTCATGTTGAATTAGCGTTATTTAATACTTTTTCAAATAAGTATTAGTACTGAGTGTTGATAATAAACACTAATAC